AAATTTGCCTGATGGATCAGCAAATAACTTAGCTCCTGTAGCCATTGGTGTTCTCATCGATGATAAATTTGAGAGAGAGTACTTTCTTTAGAAGGTCAGTCACATATTTGGATTGATTAATGAAAATTCCTTCTAAAGTTTGTTTTATTTGAAGACCAAGAAAGAAACTGAGTTCTCCCATCATACTCATCTCAAATTTTCTTTTCATCAGCTCTGAGAATTTTTTGCAAAATTTAGCATTGGTAGAACCAAATATGATGTCGTCCACATATATTTGCACAAGTAAAATATCTCCTTTGTGCTTCTTGATAAAGAGAGTTGTGTTGATGGTACATTTTTCGAATCCATTGGCAATGAGAAAGGTAGAGAGTGTATCATACCAGGCCATTGGTGCTTGCTTCAGTCCATAGAGGGCTTTGTCTAGAAAATAGACATAGTATGGATGCTTTGGATTTTCGAACCCTGGGGGCTGCTGCACATATACTTCCTCTTGAAGTTTTCCATTGAAGAAGATAGACTTGATATCCATCTGATAGACCTTGAAACCTTTGTGTGCTGCATAAGCAAGGAATATTTTGATGGCTTCAAGTCTGGCAACGGGAGCAAATGTTTGATCGTAGTCAATCCCTTCTTCTTGGAAGTAGCCCTTGGCAACAAGCCTGACTTTGTTCCTTACAACTATTCCATCTTCATCCTTCTTGTTTCTAAAGACCCATTTGGTCCCAATAGCCGTTTTCCCTTTGGGTAGAGGCATGAGGGACCATACTTTGTTTCTCTCAAACTGGAGTAGCTCCTCTTGCATGGCGTCTATCCAGTTTGGATCTTGTAGAGCTTCAGAAATTTTATTTGGTTCGATCATACTCAGAAAGTTGGAGAAGAGGCATTCATTGGCAGTAGTAGATCTTGTCTTGACACCGGATGATGGATTACCAATGATTTGGTGATGAGGATGGTCTTTTGTCCACTTGGTGCAAGATTGAGGTTCTGGAGCAACATGATGCAGTTCTTCATCGGCTAATGGAACTGCTTGCTTCCCCTCAAAGAGATCATCTCCAGAGTGATGCTCTGGTTCTGAAGACATAGGAGAAGTAGATGGTGAAGTAACATGAGTTTGAGAAAGAGTTGTACCTTTCAGCATTGGAGACTTCATGTGCTTCATCGGCTCTGGAAGAAGGTTCTTTATTGGGTGCTTTTCCAGAGACTTCTTCTTCTTCAAAGATGTCTTCAAATAAATGAGCCAACTCTGATTCATTGGGTTTGCTTAGTGATGAATCAGAGGCTCTATTTGATAGCCCAAGTCCTGAACTGCTGTTTCCAAAGGTCATTGGTGAAGAATCATCAAAGGACACATTGATGCTTTCGATGATGATCTTTGTCCTTTTGATGGACACTCTGTAGGCCTTGGCAGTTTGAGAGTAACCCATAAATATTCCTTCATCAGCCTTCTTGTCGAACTTGCCAAGATATTCCCTATCATTGAGTACAAAGCATTTGTACCCAAAGACATGGAAGTATTTGACATTGGGACGTCGTTGGTTGATGAGTTCATATGGTGTCTTCTGGTGCCTCTTGTTAATGATGGATCAGTTCTGGATGAAGAATGAAGTGGAAATTGTTTCGGCCCAGAAGGTGATAGGTAGCTCAGATGAAGCAAGCATGGTCCTTGCTGCTTCCACTAGGATTCTGTTCCTTCACTCAACTACTCCATTTTGCTGTGGAGTTCTGGCTATTGAAAAGTTCTAAGAGATGCCTTCACTGATGAGATATTCATCAATTTTCGCATTTTAGAGTTCTGTTCCATTGTCACTTCTAACCTTGATAAGTTTGTGTTGTAGAAGCACTTGGAGCATTTTCATCACCCCGATGAGGAGGTCAGGAACATCTGATTTCTTCTTTACGAATTCAACCTATGTGTATCTGGAGTATTCATCAACAAGTACGAGGATGTACTTCTTTCCCGAGAGGCTTTGTGTGGAGATAGGCCTACAGAGGTCGATGTGGATCATGTCCAAGGGCTTGGAGCAGGAGGTTTCTGACTTAGTTATGTGAGTGGCCCGTTTCAGCTTCCCCATCTCACAGGCTGAGCAGAGGTGGTCTTTTTCAAAGTTGAGATCAGGAATCCCCCTGACCAGCTTCTGTTTGGCTAACTTCTTCATGACATCAAAATTAAGATGTGAGAATTTCTGGTGCCATAGCCAATTTTCATCACTCTTATGGGAGACAAGGCAGAGGAATGAAAGTCCAGAAGATAGAGGTTTCCTTCTCTCTTCGCCTTGATAATGGTTTGGCCGGGTTTTGTTTCGATGATGCAGAAACCTTTGCGAAATCTGACTTCAAGACCCTTGTCGCAGAAATGGCTTATGCTTAGTAAATTATGCTTCAAACCTTCAACATAAGCCACTTTATCAATTGAGATGTTGCCTTTGATAAAAGTGTCATATCCCTTGATGGTTACCTTACTATTGTCTCCAAAAGTAATAGAGTCTCCAGATTTTTCGATGAAGGAGGACAACTGACTTTTATCACCTGTCATGTGCCTGGAGCAACCTGAATCCATATACCATGGTTGCACATGCTGGTCCTGCAAGACAAGTTAAGGGTTTTTAGGTACCCATTTCATAGTGGGTCCACGTTTGTTAGTCGGGGATACGACATTCTTCTTTTCATCAGCCCTATTGGAATTGAGCCGATTTCCATTACCCTTAGCCTTTGCAGGATTGGGTTTATTTCCATCGCCCTTGACCTTTGTAGGCTTGGGATTTTTCATGTTTTCATGAGCCTTAACATTTTTATAATGATAGACATGCTCAGAAAATATGCAGCAATGATTTAACATGTGATTCCTCAGGTTTTGTAAAAGAGTCAAACACTGGTAGTTAGGAGTTTTTGAGCACGGGTGTTTAACAGATTTATTTTTATTCGATGGAAAAAGAAGTAAAAACAGAATGTGAGATTCTGTCCTAGCATTGGTTGTTTTTACAAACTTCCTATTTATTGCAGACTTTTTATTTGAAGGGGCAGGCGTGGATTTTACTTCTTTCCTGAGGAGAGGCTTCTTCCTTTTAGCTGAAAGAGAAGAAAAGTGCAGGTTAGAATTTTCAGAAGCAGGCCACTTCTGTTTCTGTTTAGGAGTAAACTTAATGAATTTAGATTGAAGGGTTGGGCCTTGTGAAGTACCTTTGGCAAACTTAACGTTTTTCAGTTTTCCTTTTCCTTTATCTGAAGAATTCATAGCTTCTGGAATTTCATATTTCAATGGGGTTTTTGGAGTTAGGGGTTTCTTATCCACAATGATCTCTAGTGATTCACAGATTATTTCTTCTTCAGATTCAAAATCTAGAAAATCTCTTGCAGATTTCTCAAAGTTAAAATTTTCATGGATGTTTTTGGGACCGATGGGTTCTGAGGTTGATGGTTCAGAATGATCTGTTGGGAGTTCCATCGCTTCTGACTTCTTAGATGAACTTTCAATATTACTTGAATTGTTCATCGATCCATCAGATGATGGTTCCTTACTAAGAGTTTCTGTTCCATCGGTAACACTTGCTGATGAACTTGTAGGATTGATAACCAGAGGCTCTGGTTTAACCATACAGTTTCCATCGGTCTCTGGTTTGGGGGCATCAACCTTTTCATCAGAATTCTGACCTGTGATGCTCTCATATACCACATTCTCAAAATTTTGTCTTAAAAGAACGGTTTTTCAATCGACTTTAACCCTTTTGAAATTTGCTTAAAAGTCGGGTTTTTGAACGCATCCAAGTTTGAAAGTGGATTCAAGGGTGGATTTCTTAGTCTCGATGAAAGAGTCGAGATCATTGAATCCAATTCCTTGGTAATCCTTTTGTCTATTAAGTTTTTCATATACATCTTGGGCATCTTTGTATTTCTTCATTAAGAGTTCATTGGTTTGAAGCTTCTGATGAAGAATCTTCCTTTCTTTTTGGAAGAAATCTTTAAGAGCCACTGAATTAAGTCTTTCTGCCTCAGATTCTTTCAAGGCTTTTACCTTCTTTTCTAAATATCTAGTCATTCTCTTGTTTAGATCCAAAAGTTTTTCTTGTTCTGATTTTTTTAGTGATGCAATGCGAGTTTTTTCCTTAACCAATTCAACCTTTTCTTCGGTGAGAATATCAGTCTCTCTTTTGTAGAAACTGACTTCTTTTTCATCTTTTATTCTTTCAGATTTTCCAAAATTTAGTTTTTCTTTAAGTTTGAGAAAATCTTCTGAAAGTTTAATGACCCTTAGGGTGCGTTTGGTTTGCAAAAATGTTTCTGAGGAATTTGGATTTGCAGGAGGGATTTGGATTTGGAGGGATTTGATTTAAAATCCATTCTTGTGTCTGGTTTGCAGGATTTGGATTGGATTTGAAATCCATTCCTTTATAAATCATGTTTGGTTTGTAGGATTTGGATTGAGATTTTTATTTTCTTTTGTAATTATTTTAGTCATCAAATCTCTTTCATTTCTCAAAACTACCTATTTAACCATCAAACCTATTAATACAAAATACATATTTAATCAACAAACATGTTAATCGAAAATACATATTTAACCACCAAACTTGTTAATCCAAAATACATATCTAACTGCCAAATTGTTATTCCAAAACCACACATTTATCCAATGAAAGATGAAACAATATCTACTCCATTGAACAATTGAAAGGACAATAGGCACGAAAAATGAATAAATGACGATTTGAATGACTGTGATTCATGAGGGAAAGTCTCCTCTCATCCCATAGTGTCAAACAAACATCATCTTTTCATCCAAATGGAATCACCATTTTCATTCCGTACCTTATTCCACCATGCCAAACTTGTTCTAACTCGTTTAAAGAAAATGAAGAAAGCAACAATCCAAAACAGCATTTGAATTCCAAACAATGGAAAACCTCTTTATGGGTTCTAAACATTCCAAATTTGCAATTCAAATACTAGTATAAAAATGTTTTCATGAGTTCAATAAAAGGAAGCAATACAATTCAATTTTGAGACTACAAAAATGCTTCAACTCCAGCAACAATCTCGAGTATTTCACTAGTAATCTTACACTGTCGTTGGCGATTATAAGCATTCAAAAGAGTCTTCTTCAAATCAATCGCGTTATCAGTAGTGTTGCTCATTGCATTCATCCTAGCAGCAAGCTCACTTGCTAATGACTCCTGTAATGTCCTCAAGATTTGATTATTCAAATACAGAGGCATCAATGCATCAAGAATCTGAACATGGTCTTGTTCAAACTCCATATTTGGCAAAAACCCCTCCTTTTTGCTCATCAAGTTATCCCTCTGCATATCCAATTTCCCCTCAATGGACAACAAAATTGACTGAAAGTTATTAACAACAAATTCATCAAGAATAATTCCAATGAACTGGCCATTTACAAAGCTATTAATCCAACACAACTGACTGAAAGTTATTAACAACAAATTCATCAAGAATAATTCCAATGAACTGGCCATTTACAAAGCTTAAAATCAAGTCGAGCAAGCAAATGAGTTGTTATAAAGCTTGTCTTCTGTTGGCTATTTCTAATCACATATAACAACCTGGTCTACCTATGTGTGAAGACTGCCCAAGCCTCAAAGAATGCTGAAGAGACCTTCAGGTTATTCCAGCATTCAGAAATCAAAAGAAGCTTGTTGAGCACGATTGTTTTGTCTTGTCCTTATACACACAAAGAACAAATCCATACCCTTTCTAAGGTATAGTACGGTACGGAGCCGATTAGTTGACTCTACTACCCACCAACTTTGTGAAAGGATGTCTACTTATGAATAGGCTTTTGTACTATTCACTGTAGTAAAGGACAAGTCTTTCTCTAAAGACTTGACACGTGTTCTAACCCTACCACGTTGATTTAAATGTGCATTTAATGCAATGGGTATAAATAGATGTGTTCTATCTCCATGCAGAGATACTCTTGACTGATACTTACTCTTGAACCCTATCTTACGTTCATAAGTAAAAGAACACACATCTAAAAACACAATACACTCATCTTCAAGAGCAAGTTAGAATCCCTTTATTGTATTCTAAAATAGTTCTTACTCAGAAAGAACTTACTTTCTTCTAAGTCTTTTACAACAAATCTTTCCTTTATTTGCTAAGAACTAGTGTGTAACTTTAGATTGTTTAGATATGTTTTATTTACCTTATCTTTCCTCAAATAATCTTGTAAAATCTGTATTGATCCTTATTTATCAATATATATTTTAAATTTGAAAAGTTTTATGTGTTTGTATTCACCCCCCCTTCTACAAACTGTTATACACAGCTTGTAGACCCTAACGGGACCAACAGACGGGACTACGAATCGAGGGTGGGAATTCGAGTTCATTAGCATTCAAGCATCGATAAAGGTAATACATTATGTTTAAGTTAACATCTTATTATTATGTAAAACTACTTAACGTTTTGAGTAGCGGGGTTACTTGGTTGCAATGGCGGCTTAAATATTATCGATTAATAGTCATCGCCTTGAGCAGCGATGGTTAAACCAATGGTGGTTTAAACCCGATGTCCTATCGTTTTTGGCCTCAATTGAACTGTAAAACAAATGTAAGAATCTCTATAATTCATTGTTCAATATTATACTCGTGATTTTTATACATGTTCATTAAGCCGATTAGTTGGTCTAATAATGGATACCTTCTTGATTCAAATTGGAGATTGTATGTTATGGTTAAAAACGATAATATTCGGAATTTAGCCGATTCAAAAACATGGACAAGGGGTTGTACTCCGTTGAAACACAACTGTGTGGGGTGGTTAGCAGTCAAAACACCCGTGTTTGGGTCTGATCAAAGTTCAACGGCCATGCATGTTTATGGTCTTGAAAAGGAAACCAATGTGTGGCTCGAACATAAACAAAAATGTAATTGTAGCCTTGAGCAAAAGCAAAAGCGACCACATGAAACACGACATTGAATGCTTGGAAATGGTCTATTCATGAAACTATTTGTGGGGTAATTTACATGGGTAGTCACACGTATAAACATATATATACATACATATATATATACATATATATGTGTGTGTGTACATACATATATAATTTGGTGGTTTATACATGCATGTTCAAGTGACTAGGGAGTCACTTTGGAGCTGCATGCTTCACGTATGTATATAAATAAATATATATTGCAATATGGAAGAAAATCAATAAAGGATTTCTGGTTATGCATAAGGTCGATGGACATGCAAATTATTGGAGGTATTTTAATTAAATCACATAATTAATTGATTGATTTAATAAATAGATTAAAGTGTTGCAAAAAGGATTGATGACTATGAAAATGTTTTAAATCAATTTATGGAGTTTACATGGCTATAAAGGGTAAATTAACAGACGTTAATGGACTTTTATAATAAGAATAAAGTGTCGTATTTGAAGTTATAATAGTTGGCGCATTTTAATTAGGAGTTGGAAATATTATAAAATGTCAAATTGACGTTATAGGACGTTGTAAAGCTTAAAGCTTGGGGTTTAACAATATTCGACGTAGGTTAATCGAGTTGACTAAGGGGTAACTTCAAAGTCACTAGGTTTGATCTTATTAACATAGTTTTGACTTTTGGGTCGAATTTTTGAAGAAAATCTAGTCATTAATTGACTATTATGGTTTAATAATTGTAGGTTATTAGTTAGGAAGATTATTTGACAATCTATGCAGTCAGGTGAGTCTTCATGAGACTTTAACATGGATGCATGCTTATGTACAAATTATTTGAGCATTACGTTATTTTTTTATGTACATGTTTATGGGTTTATTATTGTGGGTTGCATGCTATTTGGTTACGTGTTTTTAAACATTAATTAGCATGCTATAAACGGGTTAATATTTTTGTCAAGTATGGGAAGGGGTCAAAAGTCATAAGGGATGGCACATCTTAGGGATGGGTGACCGGACAAGGGATAACCGTGTAATCCGGGGAAGTGCCGATGACGGTAAGACCTTAACCCGACGGGAAATTTAGAGATCTCATAATTATTTCAAAAGAGTTTGAAACAGATGTGCATGTTATTTTATTTGGGGTATTGTTTGTTTTTATGCATGATGAGATATGTATGTGTGTATGATTGTGCATAAAAACTATGAACTCACTGAGCTTTATAAAGCTGACTATTAGTATGCATCTCAGGAGCTCAGAGTTCAAGAACGGAAAAAGGCAAAGGTTCTGCATAGGAAATAGAACTATTATTCAAGTTATGATTTATAAAATCCTTAGTATTTTAATTGAATTTATATGTAATATAACCTGGTATGGGATGAGTTAGTTTTGAGATATTGATTACGATTAATTATTGTAAGACTTTTCGCTGCAATAAGGCTTTATTAGCCGCTAGGTTTTGGATTTTAATATTTTATTACTTGACACCTTGTATTTGAAATGAGGGTGTTACAGAAATGGTCCAATATACTTTGGGCTCAGCTTTCCCTTGTTTCCAAAGCGAACTACTTCTTTCTAAGGTGATACTTCAAACATCACATCCTCACCGACTTGAAATTCAGTTGACTTTCGACGTTTATCAGCATAACTTTTCTGACGATCTTGGGCTACTTTCATCCGTTCCCGAATCTGACTAATTTTATCTTCCATCTGCTGAACTATTTTGGGTCCAGCCAACTGTTTCTCACCTACCTCGTTCCAACACGGTGTTCGACATTTTCGTCCATATAATACCTCAAAAGGTGTTGCTTGGATACTCGAGTGAAAACTGTTATTGTAGGCGAATTCAATTAAAGACAAATGATTATCCCACGTTCCTCCAAAATCAATAACACAAGCTCGAAACATATCTTCTAGTGTCTGGATTGTTCGTTCACTTTGTCCATCCGTCTGTGGATGATAAGTTGTACTTAACTTAATATGTGAACCCATTTCTCTTTGAAAACTTTTCCAGAACATAGAAATGAATCGACTGTCTCAATCATAAATTATTGATAACGAAACACCCTTACGTGTTACCACTTCATCAATATACAATTTTGTTAACCGGTCCATCGAATATGATTTTTTTATTGGTAAGAAATGAGTAGATTTATATAATCGGTCCACAATAACCCATATGGCATCATAACCCTTTGGTGTTCTAGGTAACTTGGTTATGAAATCCATAGTGATGTGATCCCATTTCCAAATCGGAATTTCTAATGACTGCAACTTACCGTAAGGGCGCTGATGTTTTATCTTCACTTGCAAACATGTCATACAGCTTTCAACATGTCTGGCCATGTCTTTCTTCATACCCGGCCACCAGTAGAATTGTTTCACATCTTGATACATTTTGTTTGTACCCAGATGGATAACAGAACGAGATTTATGGGCTTCACTTAAAATGCCTTCTCTGAGATCATCATAAGATGGTACCCAAACTTTGCTTTGAAAACATAACAGTTCTCGACCGTCTTTTACCAATTCATATATTAGCCCAGCAAGTCGTTCCTGTTTGACTTGTCTTCTTTTACAGCCTCGCCTTGGAATCTTTGCAATCCATCCTGAATGCTTGGCAATAGTTCAGCTCTTAACGCAATAGCTTTAATTGTACTACTTCTTTATTTACGGCTTAAAGTGTTAGCTACCACATTTGTTTTTCCCGGATGATACAAAATCTCACAATCATAATCATTAACCAGTTCCAACCAATGTCTTTGGCACATATTAATTCCTTCTGATGGAACAAATGCTGTAAACTTTTGTGATCAGTAAAAATTTAACACAATAAACTTGGTTAACATTTGAACCACTCTCTCTCTCTCTCTATATATATATATATATATATATTTATACATACATATACATACATATATATATATATATAGAGAGAGAGGAAGGGTTCAAACGAGAACACCTTCATTTTACGAGAACACGATAATACCTTATTACTATAGACAATCACATGTAATAATATTATTCCATCACAAATGATACACATGTGATACTAAATCAGAGACGTGGGCGATTTTCAATGCGATCTTGGTTGCGGGCCAAGTCACCCTTACACCACTAAGCCCCCTCACAAGTATTATCACATGTTATAAGGGTCTTGTTGATATGATTTTATAATCCATCAAGCCCATCACATGTGATGTTAAATCATAGACGCAGACAACCTTTGGCGCGGCCTAAGTTGTAGAACACGTCGTCCGCACATCACAGGGTCCCCTCACGCGTATTATCACATGTGATAAGGGTGTTCTCGTAAAATGGAGGTGTTCTAGTTTGAACCTCCACCTATGTATATATATATATATATATGTATATATATATATATATATGTATATATATATATGTATGTATATGTATATATATATGTATGTATGATCCTAAAATGGCTGCCATGGAATTGATATTTTTCTATGTATATATAATTTTATTATACTCCCAAAAAGGACAACCACATGGGATATGCAGTAAGTTTTGAGAAGCCTTGATGCTTTATGTTGTAGGGTATATA